TCGTCTAAACCTATTGCTTCTTGGAATAACAAGCTGTGGAGTAATAATACTTTAGTGTCATGACGACAGTGGAGTAATATCCTCTCCACAATGGCAGCAATCAGCCCAAAAACAAGGAACCCCATCAGTCTAAAAAAGAAGTACTGTGATTCCATTGTGATTCCACTGAAGCCTGGAGCATCGTCTTTTGACATCCCTGCCTAAGCGGAGCACAATTAGCAGTCTGTGGGACAGTGTCAACATTCATTTCTAAATATAACAGTCAACTGACAGCAGATTAGACCTATTGTCCTAGTTAACTTGGACTGCTTAGCTGAGTGCACCGTGTCATTAATGTGGCTGCACAAACATTTCAGTACTCGTGCACACGTGTGTCTGGATCAACTCATTTTTATTTTATGTGCGTGAGCATGCATGTCCACAAATATTCACATTTTACTGTGCCTGCATATGTTTATTTGCTTTGGAAAGGCCCGGAGCCTATTTTTTTAGTTATTTAGCTGTCCGCTCACATAAAGACGGTGAAGGAAAAACCAACCTGACGCAATAAGCTAATTTGCAACCACATAACTAAACTACTTCTGGATAGGATTGAAAAATAAATAGAAACTCTGAGTCAGAACATTACAAAGCCACATTTTTGGGGGGCTTTTTGCGCACTCAGAAATTATGCAGACAGCCCCGTTATTATGCCTCCTCCTCGGCAGCTGCTGCCGAAGAAAGAGGGAAGACACACATCCCTTGACCCAGACATTTCCTATTCAATAATTGAACTATGCTCAGTACTTTGAATTTTATATGTGCGACGCACAGCAGGGGCACCCCGGTGGCGGCGAGGGTTCGTGGACTTAACTGACATCCTCTTGAACTTGCCGGGTAAAACTAGGCCAGAACAAAGTGGCTCCACGCAGGCCCGTCCGGGCTGCAAATGGGCCAGCACCAGTTGATTCAGAAAAGACTGGGACTCAGCAGCCTGCTCACTCACACGCCAGCGGGAAACGCTCAGGACCATTTGCTGACAAGTTCTCATACCGTCCCCCCCTCTGATTTTTTTTGTACTATTTAACAAGGTCACAGGGAAGAAAATCTCCACAAGGAGTCTGGAGTGAGTTGTGGGCATGTGCGCTCACAGGCCTCTGCTTCTGAACATCTCTGGATCATTTTAGCAATAAGTCTCTGGTCTCCTAAGCCCCTCTAAGTCACTGCTCGAAAATGTGTTGTACTAGCTTTTTTTTTTACATTTTTTAAATTTAATTCAATAAGCTCATGCTTATTTAAATTGGGGCCATTGACATTTTAATAATGTATACAGTCTGATGCAGTTCAGTATTTGTAGATCTTATATGAAGTAAATTATTAACTTTAAAAAAAAAATAGTTAGAGTATGTGTGACCAGTAAAATAAAAGGATTAGATATGACCTTATTTCAAATATTGACTCTAGTTGAAGCAGATGCCTCATAGACATGACTGCTTTTACTCCCCGACCGCAGTATTTCTTCTTCAAAGTCAAGAAAAATAGCTGCAGATTTTTCAAAGGAGAAAAAAAAACTGTATGTCTGTGTTTTCTTACACTTTTTGTGCAGGCACATCTTCCACCAAAACAGTTGCAAATCAATGACGAGCTGTCTCCGAGACCCCCCGGAGTGAAACAGAGGCGCGCTTCGCCCTTTCCTCCTCACATAAAACGGGTACGCCAGGAACACTTGATGACAAGGAAAATTCAGTTAGAAAAACTAAAAAAGACCAACTTGAAGGCTAAATCAAAAGCCCTCTGCTCCTGCCTGTGCGCAGACATGATGAAACCCCCCCACCACCACCACCTTGCCTCAGTCACCTGACTCCTCCTTCAGATTCCCTGCAGGTCTGCTCCCCTCCGCTGCTATTTCTCTCCTTCTCCTCTTTCTGTTTCCCTCCATCGCCTCCTAGGGCCCACTGCTGGGAGGCAGCCTTTCTCTGACAGCGGGGGGGGCAGCTGAAGGGCTGGAGGGAGCGTCGGAGGTGTGGGGCACGCACACGGCCATATGTGTGTGTTTTTCAGCACGGGTGACTTTTGGTTATGGCTCGTTATTTTTAAACGCCTCTTAAAAACAACATAACCACATTTTCTTAAACACATTTCATGTAATTAGATAAATAATTACAAGAGAAATGATGAACTCTTACTATTAAGTGAGAGGATTCAAAAGACATAACTTCTTACAGATTATTTGTCTTTCACATTACAATCACCTTATTTATTATTTTAGTTAGTTTTTTGCTTGCCTTTTTTTGTCCATACAGATAAGGAATAACTTTTTTTAATAAGCATTAGAAGAAGATGAGCCTGTCCAATAGTGGGATCCTGCGTGTTTTTTCTACCTCTGGGATCTGTTTGGTGATTAGAGAGCTTGCAGGAGGATTAAACTGCGGTTCAGCCTTGTATCTGACTGTAAATTGTCTCTTGTAAGTAATCAGGGCAATAAGGTCAGTTGAAGGAATGCGGTAATAAGCCTTTCAAGGACTGCATGTTTCTGCATGAGAAAAAAAAACAGCACTTACATTGTGTAGTTCTGCTCACATCATCTGTTCAAAAGCATCCCTTCCTGCACTTTAGCTGCGGGGTTCTGTTTTTAATTCTAATAAGACCAAATGTTTGGGTTTTTTTCAAGTAAATCGTATAATTTTCTGGGTCTAAAAGTAAATAATGTTTTTTAACCATAGGAAACAGAAAAAAATCTCTCTAAAGAAGTACTTGTTCTTCTTCCCCTGACCTCTGAAGTCACAGCATGTTAACAGTGTTGGTGTTGTGTAAGCTCTGCATAAGCGGCCATCTGCCCGATGCATCAAGACTTTGAGTCAGACTTGTTGTGTAACCCATGTGGGAGTTTGAAATAGTAGTAAGAATAAGAACAAGTAAATAGCACTGTAACCCTTTAATGTCCAGTAGAGTTTTTTCCTAATTTGTTGGGATCCACCCTGTGCAGTGAGTCCAGTCCCTGTGTTGATGCTGGCTCCTTGTGACTCTTAAAGGGTTAGGTCTACGTAAAAGTGGGTGTAAATTTTGAAAAAACTGTGATAAACAAACCAAAAAAGAAGCATCTGCAGAACTGTCATATAATAAATGTGGATAATATGATGGTAAGGATAAAAATATAGACAAACACATGTGGACTTAAATGCTACTGTTGCATTTGTATATGGTGGTTTTGTTTCAAACAAGAATGCATTTGTGTGTAGTCTCACAGACATTGCTGGTGGTAGGTTGCACCGGAAAGGGAGAGCTTGTCAGGCTTTGGCACAGTCATCGACGCCCTACTACGCGACAAAGTCTGCTCAGCATGATGGGACGATGTGTTTCTCCTCATCCGAGTGGCTGCCGGTGGCTGCTGGTATCACCTGGGACAGCAGTCTGAGGCCCACTTCTTGGAGATCTCGAACAGTGGATCTGCTGAGTGTCTGTTTAGAGGGAAATGACTCATGAGGGTAGTTCGGTTTTTAGCCATCAATCTGTGTTTCCATCTCTCCGAGGGCTGTTCAAATTCAAAACCCTTTTACTTCACTGTGGGTGAAAAACAAAAACAGCTAATGGACTCTTTGGAAAATGTGCCCTTAATAGGGAAGTCAGCTACTCTGTCACTTAAAAACAGAGCCCTTCCATTTGCAGAGGTCCAGCTTTTTATTTAATAGACAGCGCAAACATAGAATTCGTGATATTGAAAGAACGTCTGTCTTAATGTAAAAAAAAAACAAAGTTGCTGTTGATCACCAGGCGCTGGTTGGGGCTTTCCGGCGGGAGCAGAAACAGGACAGTAAGCAGGGCCGACAGGAAACGCAGCACAGGTCACAGCGTGTTTTATTCGGGATTCAAACCAGGAGCGCGGGGACAAGTTTGCACACGGAAAAAAGTTACACCAGGTATCGATACAACTAACAACGTCACGATATCTCATTGAAGCGCTCTTAACACACCCAACATCACAGACTTTTAGAAAATTAAAAGAAAATCATCAACAAACGCAACAGCGTACGGAGCAAAGTAAGAGATTTGGCAAAAGACAGAGATGTGCACGTGATGTCCTTTCCCACGCGGTGTTTTCATGAAGCTACAAGACCGCCAGCTGAAGCAATGTGTAAATATTTCACGTGGAGGAATTGGTCTATTTAAGAAGTAAGAAAAACTTGCTACTACAGTGCATACACACAAAACTAGCCTGAATGTACAACTGTACCTACAGCTCGGGTCAATGGGGGATTTCAAGGTTTAGAATGGATGGCACAACACATCAACAATGTAACTGTGTACAATCTATCAAACAAGCAATGATCAACAAATGAATCCAATATATACGCATGTTGGCCTAAAAATGACCATTTCAAATATTTATCTGCTGAGGCTGGAAAAAAAAAAGGAATGCGACGTGACCTGTGAGGGTAAGCTGGCTGGTATGACTGAGGTTACATAGTCCGAACTAAACAAAAAGAGAAAACAAGATAAATAAATGTAACAATAACTGCAATATACACATGTGAAACAAATGGCCATTTAGACTAGAGCCTTTGTACAAAGAGTTGCAATCACTTACAAAACGTCCATACATTACAGTAAAAAATAAATACATTGTGACAGTCAAAGACTAATAAATTAGGGGATGTGGGGGGGGGGGGGTAAACATGGTGATGAGAGAGCCCATTGTGTGTGTGTGTTTGTGTGTGTGTGTGTGTTTGTGTGAGATCTAGCAGACAATGATGAGGCCTAGAGGGAGAATTTTATGCCACTCGATGAGAAAATGAGCCGAGAACTTACTGAGAGTATGACCTAGCATGTGCTTGTCTTTTCACGTCTGCATGCATGTTTTCACTCTACAATATAATTGTGTTTCTTTTTGTCTACTGTTCTACATATTCACCACCTGTGTGCGTCTGCGTCTTTTTCTACCTTGATCTGAATGTACTATCTCCCCATCTCCGCCTGCACGTGTCTGCGCGTATTTACACCCCACGGCCGTTCCCCACGGCCGCTCAGTGGCCTTCGCCGCTCGGGGGTTTAGCTTCGTGCCCCGCTGCCCCCCCCGGCAGCCACGGGGAGACGGAGTGTGAGGTGGTCTGCTTGGCCATGCTGTAGTGGCTGATTACTGTGTAGAAACGGCCCCTTGAGTTGGCATCCTGGGCAGCGTAATAGGCCTCCAGAGAGGCCGGGATACACCGCTTGTGCTGCAGAGGAGCAAGAACACAGGTTAAGTGGATTTGTTAGTCAGCTCATTGTTAAATGTGTGTGTTGCTGGTCGCATTTTAGGTTGCACTTCAGATTTTGAAACGGTGGGAACTTTTCTTTTGAGAGTTTTTCAAGCATTTCATTCCCCAGAACGTCCATGAGAGCACAGACACTTTCAGATCTGAGCGTTTAGTGGTTGCAGGTGCCAAACCGGTTGTGTGCGCCCTGATCTTCATGGCTCGTGGTCCATCCACCATGCCTTAGTTTGATCCCAGCCATAGCTCATGGAGTCTGTTTTAACATTCCAAGTCTGGTCCTCGCCGCGCAGCTCGGCACGCCGCTCTGACTTGGAGTCACCACGTGAAGAACAAAGCACTTCAGCGTGTTTCACTTGTTCTTTGTGGGACTTTTCACCTCAGTGGAAACTCAGACAGCTGGTTTTTCTGGGACTAAAATTGCTCTGCAATTTAGTTTCCTCAGTATTCATATTAGCAATTAGCAATTTGCATTAACCAATAAAAAAAAAGCCTCTGGACTGCTTTATAGAAGTTAACAACAACAATGAACTGCAATTTACAGCCATTTAACTGACTTTTTTGATTGTGACAAGCACCAAATAGCATCAGATAATATATTTATAAGGATAAAGAATTTGTATTCTGTAGCTGAAGACCATGTAGTTTTGAATATAATGTTCCTGTCTGAAGCAAACAAATACTAGGACTTGCTAGATTGGTCAACCAGGCAGACAACAGCAACCGGTTAAAACACAATACCTATTTTTTCTAAAGTCATAAATCATCTGCTTGAAAATTGCACTCACTGAGTCACAACGTTGTCAAAGTGAGGTGATTTCAACTACAAAAAACACTTTCAGTGCTTTCTCTCTTGTCGGATTCTGAGAAATGCAAATAACAAACCGTGAAAAGGTTTTATCTGGTGAAAGACTGTTATTTCAAATGCTCATGAATAATGTTTTGTACATAGAGGATGGCATTTTGTCCTTTAGATTTTTCAAAGTGACTTACATTCTTACTTGTGTTTCTGTTTTGTGTGCGCTGTTCACGCGTGTCTCTCTATTGACATTTTTGCACCTTGTGTCCATGTGACACAGCTAATAATACCTCGGTTAAGAGCTCCTGTGGAGGTCGTGGGGGCCTGAAACTAGATTTATTCCTCCTTAAATACCAGATTCTCTCATGCCCAACAGACTTCCAAAACGGCTCCTTCCAAGCTATCTTCAAAAGGTGCGACTGCCTTCATTCATACTCTGGACGACAACAAAACTGTAGGATTCTGCACAGCAGATTGTTAGATAAGGATATCTATGACAGCCATTTCGTTTTATGAGCTCCGCCATATGTATTGGGAGTCGAGTTCATAATGTGGTAATTATCATGAAACAGGCAATGAGGCTAATTTTTCCCATCTCCATAATACTTAATGTGCCTTACAACATCTAACAGCAAATTTCATTGAGCCTCTTCCTTGGGCTTCTGTGTTAAGTGACAAAGGCATAAAATTATATTTGATTACACTGGTTTTCACAAAAATCCTTGATTTCATGGATTGACGATTAGCTATCGAGCCTCATTACCCTCCTTTTGTGGCATGACCTCTGAAAGTAGAAGTAGGCCGTGAGAATATTATTTTTTCTTCTCTCAAAGGAGACAGTATTCACCTGGACTTCTTTATTTAGATGGGTGAGAAGGAGACAGCGAAGGGCACAGACGATCTCATGACGTGCTTTAGAACACCAGAGTAATACCGGCTATAGTGGTCCACCATATATGAGTTTAATAAGGAATGAGCTAATGACCACTTACTAAGGAAGTAAACAGTAAATATTTGGCAAAATAATAGCCTTTGAATGAACCACTGACCGCCCTGGTTAAAGGATTTTACATGATCACTCCTGCAGTACGCATTGTTTTAACAATTAGACCATTAGACCAAGAATTCTTATAGATTTATAAAGGTTGGAATTTCTTTAAGAATGACAAAATAATATTGATGGCTCATCCTGCGCTTAGGGACAATGATTTTGTTTCCAATTATCCTCAACATTAACTCAAACTCTTTGTTTAAGTACATTTACTGGTGAAGTAAATTAATTGAAACTGATTATTTTAGTAGCACTTGATTTTATAGAAACAGTCTTGCAGAAACGCATCGGTCTCAATTAGGGCCAAATTGGTTTTAGGAGAAACACCTAAATATAGAGAGGAACTCTAAACTACCCTTTTCCCAGGAGACTTAAATGCAAACTAAACGCTATGACTTTGTAGAGACGGATGCTCTGTTCCACCCTCTTTAATAAACCGCAGCCAACTGAGATGTTATTTAGGTACCGATTAACCACAGAGCTTGGGAAATTTCCTGATCACATTAAACCATTTTAGCTGTGACAGAGCGTGTTCCCACACTATTTATCTCCTTTGAACCTCTAAGATAGAGCAACCTCTCGGTGGCATACTGTTAACGCTCCCAAACACCCGTTCAGAGGAAGAGGAAGGAGAAATTGCCGCCCTTATCGAACCAAGTTTTTCAATTAATTAAAAAGACTTGAGGATGGACGTGCCAAGTTAAAAACAGAAACAGCGCATGACACAGTAAGTAAAAAAAATAGCAGAACTGGAGGGTTATGTAACGGCAGCGAGGTCATCCATCGTCCTCTTGTTTAATCCCATTGTGCTGTTGACCACTTGACTTTCCAGACAGATGCGGCGTGAAGCCGTAAAATGACAAACAGGCCACTTAAGGGGTCCTACCTTATAAATGAATCCATCTGGGCAGGCGTGGTCGTAAGTGAAGGCTTTATAAACCACCAGGAAAACGATGCAGGCGAGGAAGGCCAAGGCCAGGATGATCAGAATCGTCACCTGGAGGGGCACAAGCGGGTGGTCAGTGAGTGTGTGTGTGTGTGTGCGCTGAAGCACCGCAGCAATAATAGAGGATGTAGTTTATTTATGTGAGGTAGGTTTGGGGTTAGGGAAAGATGGAGTGTGTGTGTGCTCGTGTGCGTCTGTCTTGGTGTGTTGTCATAATAAATGGTAAGATGCTGCTGACTGAGGTCAACGGCTCCTCGAGGCAAGGAGTCCTGTTCGCTTAGATGATGAATGACTCAAGCTGAGACACTGCAAAGAAGTACCTTGTTTCCACAGATACAATGTTGCTCAGTTCAGATACATATCAGACATCAAGTCGGTAAGGCAAATTAGAATAATCTTTTCTCGGCAGCGCAATAATCTTGGATTTTTATTTAATTCTTTTTTCTGTCTTTGTCGGATTTCATAGTATTCTTCCATTGAATCTATTACTGATTGCTATCGATAAAATTTATTTTTAACAACATCTTTCGGCTTGTGATTATAGGTAAACTGTAAACACTGTACTTTTGTGTATAAATAAAGAATATAGAATTATGTCTGTGAATGCATACTTTTCCATGGCAAACTGTTAACAGTCATTTCTACATAAACAATTACAAAGGGTTTCAAAGCCAAATCCACCTTTAACATTGCTTTTGCTTACATCCAATGGGCACACATAGTCCTCCTATAGGAATAAATCTGTGTAATCACATGCTGATTGGTAAAGTCTACATTTCCAGAATTAACTCAAGGGAGGGATCCAGGGAAATACCTTCATGGTATGGCCTCCAAATCCTTACCTCAGGTTAAGAGGAGGAGTCTAATTCAAGCGTTCCAGCAGTCGCGGTTTTGTTCACAAGTAAGAGGAAAAAGAACCATGATATCAACTATATGTTGCGTGCAGTTCTCCACAAGTAAAGTCACTGACAAACACCATAAAGGCCACTGCCCCACGTAGGAATACAATCATCAACTTCATCTTCAGCATCTTGACTTTGATTGTATTGCTGTGATTAACTTCGTTTCCATTGTACTTGGTGATAAACTGAACCAATCAGGCCCTGAATTAAAACTCTGACAAATGCAAAAACAAATATGCAACACCACAACTTATCAAATATTATCACTTGATGATCACTTCTTTAGAAGCAGAATTATTACACTGCATGAAAACTGCACCAGTAGGGTTCATCTAAATTGTGGCGATAACTCACTTACATATGCATGCTGGTACAAATATGTAGTTGAAGGGTTGAAATATTAATTTCCCTGGCAGGCAAAATAATGCTGGTGTAAAGTAAATTAACATATAAAAGGGTCCGTTTCCTCTTACTTCCTACTTGACACTGCAATTGGGTTCTCCTGAGCGAGCATTTAATTAGGGTTATGCAAATCACGTGCAACGGGTAGCATAAGGACGCACCTCTGCAAATGCTTCAAGAAAATACATATCAGATTCATATCGCCACGCATGCTGAGAACTACGAATCTTTCACGCTTGATGGACAAATTCTGACTTTCAGTTTTCAAGTCTTGACTGAGGCTGAGGCCGTTCCCGATTACCGTTCCCCCTACAATCTGTGGCGGTGACATGTCAGAGCAATTATGCATGAGTGTGCTCATCAGTCTCCATCAGGGTTATGTGGGTGGACAGGGACAGGCCAACTAAGTGACTGTTTACTTGATGTCAACTGGGGGACACGACTCTCACCCTTGGTTGCTGCTGACACTCCTGCTAAATTACATCTCTTCACGTCACGCGCTGCCATATATTAAAAGGACAAATTTAAAGTCGGAGTGACACTGGCCTGTGGAGCGGCGACAGACGTACAATGACTGATTAAGGCCCGTCTGACTGCCTTTTTCTGAATTACTGAGTAATTCAAATTGAACATCTTATTAGGAAGAGGGATTACAGTGAAGCCCCTTCATATGGGCTGTTTCATGCTCGGACATGAGAAATGAAGCCTCGGGCGGAACATGACTGAAGAGATCCGAGCTTTTTGTGTGGCGTCAAAATGGAGGAAATTTAAACTGTCATCATCTGTTGCACTTGTGTTTCTCATTCAGCAGATTATTGATCGCACCAAATCGCGTGCAACTGGATCCATTATCCGGTTACTCCGTAACGGGTCCTAAAGTTAGGCTGTGGCCCAGTCCATTTATGACACCGATTGGTGTAATTAACCTTTAACGTTCGGTCACACTTTAATTTGCAGATTCAACACAGCAGCGGCCGTCGGAGCAAAAGTGCAGAAGGGAATATTCTCTGCTATTTGCAATAGAAATAATCATTCTAAAATCCCTATTTCCAGCTGTGGCCATGTGGAGTATAAATCCATTAAAAATCTATCCCGACCTTTCTCTATTATTCATAATCTGGCTGAACTCAGCTGTAAACCTCTGGAGGTCGTCAGGGAAACACTACAGCTCGGGGGATGAAGAAACCCTCCATGCATGAGGGGGCACCACACTTTAATTTTAAGGCCCACCTTTAATATTTCTTTTTGATTAGATAAGGCTCAAAAGATGCTGGTGAAAGCAAAAGAAACCTTTATACACTTATTTTGTTACAGAAATAGAATCTCTCTACTTGCATCACCACCATCAGCCAAATTTTCCTTAATTCCATCACAATGATGGCTGTTAATAGCACACAAACATGATCCATCCAAAAGCACAATCAACCACCAACACGAGCACTGTGCCGTTTGCTGTGTGCTATAGATTACAGTTTGTTTGCCCTGGTTGCAAGCAGAGGCACAGCGGGCTGTTGCAATTTGGAACACAGAACAATATATTTGTAACTAGGTTTGGCTCCAGAAGTAAAGGTTGCAGCAACTGTGTGGCAGGTAATTGTGCCCTCTAGGCTTTAATCCTTTCTCTGAATCCACTAAGGATTGATAGAGACACACGGATTCTATTCACACAGACCAGAAAGTAAAGAAAAGAAAGAAGAAAAAAAGAACAGACTGGGCGTAAGAGTTTCATTCTGAGATACTCGTCAGCAGTATCCCAAACCTTTCTGCGGATTCATTGTTTGGCTAAATATTATCTCTAAGAAAAAAGGTGCAGACTCTTGCCTGTTTTAATAATCTGATTCTTGTCTTTTTTTATGTATAGATAGATAGATTACTGTATAGGGTATATCAGCTGTACTAGAAGTACAAATCACGTTTAAACAAATTCAGTTAGTAAAGCCAAGAGAGATGAATACATTCAGATAATTTTCAGCCAGCAGAAGTCTTGAGAGGATTTACCCATGTGGGATAAAAAATTTATGCTGTAAACGTATTTTAGCCCTATCCCCGATACAACAGGGAGTTAGCACTGTCGCCTCACAGCAAGAGGGGTTGGCTTCATATCCCCAGAGGCCTTTCTGCATGTTCTCCCCATGTATGTGTGGGTTCTCTTCCGGTGCTCTGGCTTCCTCCCACCATCCAGAAACCTTTATGTCAGGTTAATTGGTGACTTTAAAACTGCCTTGTAGGCATGAATCCGAGTGTGTGTGGTTGCCCCTGTCTGTGATAGACTGGTGGCCTCTCCAGGGCGTACCCAGTGACTGGGAAGAAGCTGTATGGAAAATGAGAGGGTGGATTTCCAACTTTAATCAAGTAACCAACCAAAAAACAATGTTTTCCAGTAAAAATGTTGTGAAAAGCATTCAATAAAAATGGTAACCGGCCTCTTTTCAGAACTATTTTACATAACATCATTGTCTAAATTTAATCAGGAGGTTATCGCAAATTATTTTAGTAAAATACTGTTAGCAGAACCTATGTTGGTCTGTATCTCACATTGCACAAAGGTCTAAAATGTCAGTGCTCAGTGTTCAGTTGGCTTCTTAATGGAAAGAGTGATGTTTCGTCTAATGTAGAAAACCCTCATTATAGGAAGTGCTGGTGTGTTTATTCTAGTTGGAAGACTTGTTTTGTTGTTCTTGTGGGTTCGCTATCACAGATCTATAGTTATATTTGCAATCGCTGTGGTTGTGGAGCCCTCAGAACTGGCATAATGGCCAAAGCTGTTACAGAATGATTGCAGCTATTTATACTGACAAACCCTTAAGACCCTAAAGTTAATGCATCCAAGTAAATTATTGTTACTAAGCAACTGGAGATGGTAAAAAATAGGGCATTCTAGGGGAAAATGCACCTGTTATTGTTTGTTAGATTACAGGGAAGGATTTGTTTTCTTAAACAACATTAAATGATAAAGACTCCAAATATGAGTCCAAAATTCTCCAGATCTTAATCATTGCTGTCTTTTCCTCTTATATCACAGAATATGGGTGAAGAGAGCAGCCGCAGCTGTGGACAGATGCATACTAGGGACAAAGATAATTCACCCAGATAAAAGATCTATTAGCGTTGTTATTTCGTTCCTCAGATTGGACAGTTACCTATTGTTTCTTTATATCTTCCACATCACACACACTTGAATAAGGCCAGCTGGACTTCTTCTTGGGTCTTTAAGATGTTCCATATCTCATCTGAACGGATTCTTCAAAAAACTCGAAGAACCAAGAATTCAAGCAGCCCTTATTCAAGCTCTGAAGATTATCATAACAAAAATGACTAAGAAACAATCTATCTCTCCATCACTCCTTGTGGATCCCGATTGTCCAAAACATTTCATGATATGTTTGATATTTGCCCCAAAATGCACACCCCTTTGATTATTTATAGCTGTGAGATGCGTTAAAAGGCATCTTCTAAATGTCTTCAGCACAGCCTGCTTCACCATAGTTTGACATATGATTTCTCTATTTATTTATTTTTGTTTAACTTTGTGCTATGTTCGAATGCAACGCACCACTCACTCTCTCGCTGCTGTAAGTTGACAGGCCATACGGAGGAGCAAACACCTCCTCACATCCACTCGAGGAACAGGGGGGAATATGAGAACGTGTATCTGAGCGAGCGTGAGAAGAAAGGTGGGGTTGTGTCAGGAAAAAAAACCAAAAAAAAAACATGGCCCTGATAAAACAGATAACAGAGTGACAGAGAGAGCAAACTGAGAAATAAAAGAGGAGATGACAGGGACAATAAAGCAGC